GCACAGCGGTTATGGTGTCAGCGACATACACCAAGGCAGGCGGGTTCAAAACCTAGTCATTGCCTGGAAAAAGAGCCAAGGTGGGTAGAGGAGCTCATTTGCAGTCTAGATTGAGTGAATTGACCCAGTTGATCCCCAAGAAATTTTTTTTTTGCAGTTTTTAGCCTGGATAGGGTTTGAACCTGTCACCTCCAGTATATGGGGCCGGAGTCCTACTCCTTGAGCTACAGGCACCGCGCCCCCCCCCCCAAGAGTTTTTCCACACACTCTGATTCTTTTCTTTACTGTTGAGAGATTCTTTGGTGTGTTTCTCTGTCTCTTAAGGGGGAGGATTGGGATTGCTTGGAAGTAATTGAGCTTCCTTTGTAAATTTGAATTGTAGTACTTAACATTGGTTGAGTATTTACTGTGTGCTCTACTTTTTTTTTTTTTTTTTTTTTGAGAAAGAGAATTTCGCTCTGTTGCCCAGGGCTAGAGTGCGATGGCATCAGCCTAGTTCCTGGCAATCTCAAAAGCTCCTGGGTTCAAGGGATACACCTGCCTTAGCCTTCTGAATAGCTGACACCATAGGTGCCTGCCACAACAGCTACAACTGGCTGATTGTTCCAGTTTTAGTAGAGATGAAGTCTCACTCTTTCTTGCTCAGGCTGGCCTTGAACTCCTGAATTCAAATGATCCTCTCACTAAGCCTCCCAGAGTGCTAGGATTACAGACATGAGCCACTGTGCCTGGCTTGGAAGCTGACTTTCAAAGGGGCTCTGCAAGGAAGGAGTGGAGTAGGTAGGGACTCCAACCCAAGTCCATCAGGTAACAAGATCCATGTGCTTAGTGATTGGGCTGCTCAGCTTTTCTAGGTTGTATTTGAATGAAGGAGTGATAGATACTGGAAAGCTGAGGCTCAGAGAGACAGAGGATCTCAGGGAGTTAGACCATCAGGGATGTGGTCATCACCCACTCTACTTTACATGTGAGCTACTGTCCCTGCTTCCACCATCCCAGTTAGTAATTCCTTTCTGTCTTGCCCTCCCTCAGCACCTACCTTGTATCCCTCATTTCCTTTCATCCATCCTGCTGCGGTGATGGCTTAGCTCCCCCTCCTCCTTGCCACTTGAAATAATCTTTTTTTTTTTTGGAGACAGAGCCTCAAGCTATCCCCCTGGGTAGAGTGCTGTGGCATCACAGCTCACAGCAACCTCCAACTCCTGGGCGCAAGCAAGTGTCCTGCCTCAGCCTCCCAAGTAGCTGGGACCACAGGCACCCAGCACAACGCCTGGCTATTTTTTGCTTGCAGCCATCGTTGTTTTTGGCGGGCCCAGGCTGGATTCGAACCTGCCACCTTAGGTGTATGTGGCTGGCGCCTTAGCCACTTGAGCCACAGGCGCCCAGCCACTTGAAATAATCTTAAATAGGCTTGGCTCCTAATTTAAATAAAAATAGTGACTTTGTCATGAAGGTATAGTTTCTGGAAAAGTCCTCTGGTGTCCTCAGCACCACCAATTTCAGATTGCTTTGTACACATAGAAATTTTAGTGACTTTCGTTTTTAACAGATGAGTGTGTGTATTCAGGAAGCCTTTTGACCACCTAGAACTAGAGTCAGAGTCAGTACTGCTCATTTCTGGCTGACTGGTCCAGATACCTTTTAGCCCCTGACTGGCCTTAGTTGAGGAGGAACACCGCACGAGGGCCTCTGCCGTCCTCCCCTAGAAAATTCTGAGCCCCAGAAACCTGTAGACATTGCAATAATCAGCTGGGCCCTGTCTAGGGCCTGCCTCTCCACACTGCCACCTCCCTCTCTGAGAATCAGTCCTTGTCATCCTCTTTTTACTAGGAAACCCTGAGATTGCACCACAAAGGTTTTTGACTCATTCTTTACTAGTAGAAGAGAGACAGGTGAACCACTGTGCTCCCTTGAAGTTTCTGGTGAGCTGGTTAAGAGCTTTGGCAAAGGTTAGTTCTTTACCTAGATCTGAGGAAGCACCTTCCCTCTGTGGTCCCAGTTACCTTTCTACAAATAGAGGGGATTAAAACTATGGTCCTTTTTGCTGTTCTAACATTCTGCAACTGTTTTCTTAAATAAGTGAATGATGGTGATTTTTGAGCTGGCCTTCGGGTCAATGGCAGCAGGTGCAGGTATCAGAATGTAGTGGTAGGAGGAGGATTGTCCCCTGATTTGGCTGGAATAGTGCTGGATATGGGAACTGGTGCCTGTGTAATGTGATATGTTTTCATTGGGAGCCATTTCAGATGCCAGGACCAACTGGACCTGTATACTCTGTGTGGGGGCTTACATGCCCTGTGACAGTTAGTTACCTGGTGAGGGTGGGTACCTGGGAAGGTACCCAGAAAGGGATGTATGTAATTGAAGTCAAATCAGAAAGCCCAGTATCTTTTCTAGCCTCTTGCAAGGGCCTGAAAGCAGCTCAACTCAGCCTTCCTGGGTTTCCCAGAGGCCTAGTATGATATTGACAGATCTATGAATTTTAAATAAAGGCAACAATAGTCCTCTCTCCCTAGTGGATTTTTCTGTCTTTCTAGTTTCTCTTTGTCAGGGATAACCTGAGGCTCTAGTGGGGAGCAAAGAATAGGGCATCTTGAGTCCTCTGGACAGAGGGACCTGGGGATGGGGCTTTTTCAACAAACTCACATGGGCCTCCCTACACTGGACTAACTTAAGAATATTCATATGTATGCCCAGACTGATTGCCTTCATCAGCTTGGAATTGATAGGAATTAGGGAATCAGTGGGATCTTTTCATGGCAGGAGGGCTGTCACATTGATTGAAGACTAGATCTATCTTCCTTTCTTTCCTTTCTTTCCTTTCTTTCCTTTCCCTCCTTTCCGTCCTCCCCTCCCCTCCCCTCTCCTCCCTTTCCCTTCCCTTCTTTCTTTTCTTTCTTTCTTTTCTTTCTTTCTTTCTTTCTTTCTTTTTTGAGACAGAGTCTTACTATTGTCACCCTTGGTAGAATGCCGGGCATCACAGCTCATAGCAACCTTCAACTCTTGGCCTTAAGCTCTTCTCTTTGTCTCAGTCTCCCAAGTAGCTGGGACTACAGGCACCCACCACAGCGCCCAGCTATTTTTTTGTTGTTGCGGTTGCCATTGTTGTTTGGCAGGCCCAAGCTGGGTTTGAACTCACCAGCCCTGGTGTATGTGGCCTGCGCCTTAGATGCTGAGCTATATGCACCGAGCCAAAGACTGGATTTTTCAATATGGTGTCCCTTTGTGATCAAACAGTGACCTGAAAAACTTTATTTACCTCATCTTTTTAAGGAAAAGTCTTTAGGAACCCCTTGCCCTCTGAATCTCATTCCCCTTTCACCATACTGTTAATGAGCTTGGTGTTGCAGGCCCTTTAGTCTGCTCTCCTGGTAGCATGCGTGGAATGGTATTTGGGTACTGGGAGAAGTGATCACTAGCATTAGCTCTGGTGTACAGTAACCTGGTCCTGGTTTGAAGCAGGTGAAATTCTTTAGCCTTGTCAAGAAACTAGGTGATGGTAGGCTTACCTGGGCCAACCCAGGGGTCACAGGACAGAAGGAGAGTACAGAGTAGCCCCCTGGCCCTCAGGGCTTCATCCTCTTGAGACTGAGATTTTCTGTTTCACCACTGCCCAGCATTGGGAGTGGGGGATGCTGTGGGCTGAGTTGCACAGCTCCGGCTCTTAGAAGGCATGTGGGGTGTCTTGAGGGGGCAGTGGCTCCGGTGGCAGGCAGAAACCAGGAATGCAGTGGCCTCACAGCTAGCAATCAGGCAAGGACACTGTCTGCTCATTAAGGGAACATGAGTCTGATCAAGGAGTAGAACATTCCTTTCAAGGCCAAGTAGGCAAATTTCTGTGCTCAGGGACTGGGGGCAGCTCTGGCCCTGGCTTGGCTGGTCAACAGTGGAGGCAAAGTGATGGGAGAAAAGTGTGGGCGAACAGGGCCTCAGGATGTGTCTTTTCCTGTGGGTCTCTGGGGGAGGAAGGGGCAGAGACCTTTCAGAACTGTGTTGGGAAAACAAATGTTAAGTATAGAAAGGACCGAACCTATTAGAACCATTTAAAAAATAGAAGACATTTTTCTTTAAAAGCCCATGTCACTGTCAAAAAATTTAAATCTCTACAATGTAGTGTTTAACTTCTGATCATATTTAACGTATTCTTCTAGAGATTTTTACTATGTATATGTGCATGTGTGCTTTTTTTATTTTTGGCAAAAAGTGGAATTTTATATCTTTTCTCATTTACTGTGTCCAACTTTTCATATCATTAGAGATTGGTTAGCTTTTTAATGGCTGTTCTAAAAATGGATTAATTTTATGTAGCCAATTGCCTACTTTTGGTCAAGTACTGTTGTTTTCAACTTTTAAGTTATAAAATAGCACTTTGGTGGACATCTTTGTACATAACTTTTATCTAATTTGTATCATTAGGATGGGTTGCTAAAGGGGGAACAGCTAAATCAAGTGGATGCCTACTTTTTCTTTGGAAACTGAGGAGGCAGACAAAATCTTTCCTGAGTGGCTGGCCCTGGTGTGGTTCCTAGATTTCTTGATTTTTTTATATTGCCTTCTGTTTGGTCTGTGCAGACACAAACTTCTAGAATGTTAGAGCCCAGAAATAATCTTTCAGACCCTTTATGAAATCTGCAGTGATACAAGAGTACTGAATTATAGTGCTAAACTCTGGCATGGACTTCCCTCTCCAGGGTTCAGTCCCTGTTTTACAAGTGAGTGTAGAGCTATACTCTGTGAGGGTCCTTGTATCTCAGAGTCTGAGTTCCTGGGGTGCTGCTGCTGGCTCTTTGTGTGATCTGACACTCTAATTTCTTGAGGAAGGGGCTGGTAGAATTATTACTGGTATTTAAAAACATCTTTTTCTCCTCTCCACTGTTTCTTCCTCCTATGGAAACCTGCAAGTTGCTTGGTTGGATGGGAATGATACGAGGGGTGAGGAGCTGGTAGTGGTCCCCTCATGTGGGTTTTGCATAACCATCTCTCTCTTCTCGTTCCCACAGAACATTCTGCTCCGGCCAAAGTGGTGAGGGCAGCTGTTCCTAAACCCCGCAAAAGCAGCAAGGTAAGGAATAAGAGTGGGTACCCCATGGGGACTTCCTGGACGTAGCAGCTTCTTTCCTTTTCTAGTGAGTGCTTCTGGACTGTTAGGCAGTTTTGAGTCCTCTCTGAATAGCATGAGGGTCCCTCTGAACCTCCAGTGTGGGTGATCCTAGTGACAGACTGATTGGCCTCTGATCTCTCAGAGCTAGATCTTGGGTGAGGGACTAAATGGCAGAGACAGGTGAATCTCCCCCCAACCCCTTAGGAACCCTCATAGAATGTGCCTTACAGGTTGGTGACTTTGGAGATGCAATCAACTGGCCCACACCTGGAGAGATAGCCCACAAAAGTGTGCAGGTGAGTCTGTGGGGAGGATGGGTAAGTTTGAACTCTTACCTAAAATATACATTTTGGGTTCTCAAGTTTTCAGAGCCTCAGATTTTACCTTTCTAAAACACTGGTTATAAAATGGGCAACATTGGGTGGTGCCTATGGCTCAGTGGTTAGGGTGCCGGCCCCATATACCGGCATATACCGGCCCCATATACTGGTGGTGGGTTCAAACCCGGTCCTGGCCAAACTGCAAAAAAAAAAATAGCCGGGCCTTGTGGCAGGTGCCTATAGTCCCAGCTACTTGGGAGGCTGAGGAAAGAGAATTGCTTAAGCCCGGGAGTTGGAGGTTGCTGTGAGTTGTGTGATGCCACAGCACTCTACCAGGGCGATAAAGTGAGACTCTGTCTCTACAAAAAAGTGGGGGGTGGGAGGCAACATTGAAATAACTAAGAATTTTCATCATTTGAGCCTTTGCTTTGTGTCAGGGACTGCCAAATGCAATTGTCCCTCAGTATACTTGAAGGGTTGATTCCAGGACCCCTATGCATACCAAAATCCTCACATACTTAAGTCCTGCAGTTGGCCCCGTGGAACCGCAGTATATGACAAGTTGGCCCTCTGTATATGTAGGTTTTGCATCCCACTAATACTGTATTTTTTGGTCCACGTTTGGTTGGAAAAAAATTCCATGTATATATGGACTCATAGTTCAAACCTATATTGTTGACCCTCTGTGGTCTGTTCATCATGTATCCCTCTTAGTATCCTCCAAGCTAGGTTCTTTTCCCATTTAGAGATGAGGCTACTAAGACTCAAGCATTTTTTTGTTGTTGTTGTTTGCAGTTTTTGGCCGGGGCTGGTTTTGGACCTGCCACCTCCAGCACATGGGGCCGGCGCCTTACTCCTTTGAGCCACAGACACTGCCCTAAGACTCCGAGTTTTAATTTCTGGCCCCTAATGGCCCAATGGGGATTGGAAACCAAGTGTATTGTACTTCAAAGTCTTCGTTCTCCATCACTAAACTTGAATTTTCTGTGAGTGAAACGAGTGGTCATTAGGGCAACCTAACTTCCACACCACGTGTGTTGGGGAAACAAAATCTCCCGTACTCCAGCAAAGGGGTGGAACTGTGGTCAGTTCTGTCTTTCTCAGCCCTTTTGTTCTGGGCCAGTGGCCTGGATCGCTCACTCACTGCCTGTGGCCACCTTCAATTCACAGATAGGCTTTTGACAGGCCAGGGGTCTTTATCTCTTCAACCCACAGACGGCCTGAACAACACAGCTCTAGTCGAAGGGAGTAAACATATGGCTTTTGCAGGCCCCAGCATCTCTCTCCTAGGGCTTTTCTCTGTCACTTAGACTTGGAAGCCAAAAGGGCAAGTTGTCTCTTCTGTCTGCTGGCCCATTAGATTATGCTTTCCAGTTAAAGCATCTCAGGTATGAAAGCAGAACCTTAGAATACATGTGTAGCTCCTTCTGCTTGTCTTTGCTCATGACAGGAAGTACCCTCCCTCCCATACCACGAGGCTCTCACACTCACCTCATTTCCTGGTTATTTTCCACTGCAGCCACAGTCCCATAAACCTCAGCCTACTCGTAAGCAGCCACCCAAGAAGGACATGAAGGAACAGGAGAAAGGAGAGGGGAGCGACAGTAAGGAAAGCCCGAAAACCAAATCAGATGAATCTGGGGAGGAGAAGAATGGGGATGAGGACTGCCAGCGAGGCGGGCAGAAGAAGAAAGGTAAGTGAGTGGGAGCCAGACTTGGGAGAAGGTGGCAGGATGGAATTATGAAATGTCACACCTCTCAGGGGGTTGCTGGGGAAGTCTAATGTGCCCCCCAGAAAGTCGTTGGATAAGTGATGTGGGCCATTGGGACAGTGGTCTTCTCTTCAACCATCTGTTCATCAGTTCCTCCTCTTAAAGATAAAAAGTTTCCAAAAACCTGCTAAAATGGTTAGGGTCAGGTTGTTCTAATAATAGAGAGTCACAGTAACAGTGGTTTAAACAAGATAAAAGTTTTTCCCTCGTATGACAGCTTGGTGTACATAGGCCAGGTCTAGCATGGCAGTTCTTTAATTTCCTTTAATCTTGCTGTGGTGCATTGACTCTTCATTATCCAAAATGGTTTCCTATTTCCTCTTCATTGCAGCTATAAGGAAGGGGAAAGAGGGGACGTAGCTTCTCTCCTTTTAGGGACTCAACCTAGAATTGGCTACTTTAACTCAGCTCTCTTAGGTAGCATTTTCGCGCATGTCTGAAGGGAGTCTGGAAAGTAGTCTTTACCTTTGGGCAGCTAAATATGTATGTCTAACTTCAGAAGAGGATTCTCTGACTTTGCAGAAATCATTATTGAGAGTTAAATTAGGAGTCTGCACTGAGAACCCCTGGCCTCCTTATTTTATTTTAACTTTAGTTAATTTTTTTTTTTTTTTTTTTAATAGAGATGTTGCTCAGGCTAGTCTCAAACTTCTGGCCTCAAGCAATCCTCCCACCTTGTCTTCCCAAAGTGATAGGATTACAGGCATGAGCCATTACACCTGACCTGGCTTTAGATGTAAAAAGGAGGCCCAGTGTGTGGAAAAGGGAAGTTGCCCAGGGTCACCAGATTGTGATTTAGGCCCAAGCCTAGGGCAGGGGGAAAAGAATCGGATAAGGCTGGCTAGGAGGTGGTCTTTCCCCTCAAACCTTTGTCACATGTCCATGCTATCTCCCAGGGAACAAACACAAGTGGGTTCCATTGCAAATAGACATGAAGCCTGAAGTACCCAGAGAGAAACTGGCCTCACGCCCTGCTCGCCCACAGGAGCCAAGACATATACCTGCCAACCGAGGGGAGATCAAAGGTAGGCACTACCCACTATGGAGGGCCTGGACATGAGGGACATCCTCAGGCCTGACCTGGTGTCCCCTCTCCCCATAGGGTCTGAGCCTGCCACCTACGTTCCCGTGCCTGTGGCCCCCCCCACCCCAGCCTGGCAACCAGAGACCAAACCGGAGCCTGCCTGGCATGACCAGGATGAGACATCGAGTGTGAAGAGTGATGGGGCTGGTGGGGCGCGGGCTTCCTTCCGTGGCCGTGGACGGGGGCGTGGTCGCGGCCGGGGACGCGGCCGGGGTGGTACTCGAAGTACGTGAGGCCCCTTTGGGCTCCGGGATGTCCAAGGGAGTGTGGCAGGGGTGGCGGGCAGGAATCTGCTCTCCCTCATGACATCTGTTTTCCCTGTAGCCCATTTTGACTACCAGTTTGGCTACCGAAAGTTTGATGGTGCAGAGGGGCCTCGTACCCCCAAGTACATGAACAACATCACCTACTATTTCGACAACGTCAGCAGCACTGAGCTTTACAGTGTGGACCAGGAGCTGCTGAAAGACTACATCAAGCGCCAGATGTGAGTGCGAGGGAAGCTTCTTGGAAAAATGAGAGAGAGGTTATGGGTTGCCAGAGTATTACAGCTGGGTAGAGGAGAGCTGGACAGAGGCTCTTGTGGTACTAGCAGCAGTGCAGCCTCTGGTTGGAGCTGTGAAAGATAGCTTTTCTCTGGTCATTTGAGCTCACTTTTCGTAAAGTTGTTTATTATAGAACTAATATCATATTTACTTTGAGAAAATTAAAAATTATATCACTAATAAAAAGGAAGGGAAATGTCTAGATTGAATATACCACCTTACATGCTTCCATTTTTGGAAACAAGATTGACAGAATGCTGGCGAATGTTTAGTGAGTGTTCACTGTTATCTAAGGCTCAGTGTTAAATCTTTTACAGGCATTATCTTCATTTAATTTTGTAATTTTTATCTGCTGAACTTCCGTGAACCTGGGTATTTTAACCCCATTTTATAGACAAGCAAGCAGGCTCAGTCACTTACTTAGAGTCTTATAGCTAGCAAGTAGCAAAGCACAGATTTAAATCCATTTCTGTCTAGTATAAGTGGTTAAAAACCTTTGCTCTTAACCACCCTGGGATATTCTCTCGTAGTCCAGTGGGGAAGTTGTACAAGGAAATAGATAACTGCAGTAGAGTATTACAAGTGTTTTAGGAGCAGAGGAGAAAGTGACTGGGTTTTAAAGGAGGATGACGAGTTTGCCAGACATGCAAAGGGACAGAAGGTCAGAGAGTGATTTGACCCAAAGCAAAGTAAAGATAACCTCATCGGTCTTCATCTTTTAACATTGTATGTAGGATAAGAACAGGCTGGGTCCCAAGCTGTGTGAGATTGCTGGAGTGTATAGCAGAATAGGGAAAGGTGTTTTCGTAAGTGACATAGCAATCCCTTAGTGATGTCTCTCCTGTCCACTTAGTGAATACTACTTCAGCGTTGACAATTTAGAGCGAGACTTCTTCCTGCGACGGAAAATGGATGCTGATGGTTTCCTACCCATCACCCTTATTGCTTCCTTCCACCGAGTGCAGGCCCTTACCACTGACATTTCACTCATCTTTGCGGTATGTCTTCCTCCCTGGGGTTGGGGTCCAGGGGAAAGAATGGTCCCATTTATAGAGCTGGAGTTTTGGGCCAAGGCTGAAAACCCTAGAAGAATGTCCATCTGATTAATTCTGTTAAAATCCCAAGGCTTGGCTGGCCTCCCTCTCTCCCTCCCTCTCTCCTTCACTTACTCCCTCTCTGCCCCTCTCCCCTCTCTCTCATCATGGAAAATGTTAAGACATTTACAAAAGTTGACAGGAGAGTATATAATAAACCCATCACCAGCAGCTTCAGCAGATATTAACTTGTAGTTGGTATTATTCCATCTATACCCTCATCTGTTTCCCCTCTCACTACTTTGAAGAAAATTCTAGATAACCTGTCACTTAATCCACAGACGTTTCAGTACATGTCTCTAAGAAACAGACTTACTAAAAACATAATCACAGCATCATCATCACACCTGAAAGTATCAACAGTTCCTTAAATATCACCAAATACCTAGTCAATTTCAAATTCACTTCAGTTATCAAAAAATTTTTCATACTTTGTGAGAATTAGGATTCACATAAGACCCATGTATTGTCTTGTTAAGTCTCCTCCCTTCCTTTCTCTTTTTCTTTTTCCTTGCACTTTATTATTTGAATAAACAAGGTTGGTATAGCCTATGGAATTTCCCACAGGACACAGTGGTGTCATTTACCATGTTTATTTGTACTCCAAAGTTTGTAAATTGATAATCTAGAGGCCTGATCAGATTTAAGTTTGGGGTTGTTTTTTCTCTCCTTTTGTCAAGAATACTTGATAGATTTGATGTGTTCTTTCTCAAGGTGTCACATTATATATATTTCATGAGATTATCTCTTGTGATACAAGCTGCTGTTGGTGATTGTTGCCTGTTATTTCATTTAGGGATTGCAAAATGGTATTACTACAGCAATCAGTCTGTAGTGTTTTAAACTTTATTTATTTACTCCTTTTTTGGTACCTCATCGCTCAATTTGACCTTAGTCTTCATTTATTACTGAAATACATAACTCTTTGAGGAGTGACTTTGCCTCATTAGTGTTTAATTACCAGGAAGTATAGTTTACATGAGAACGGCAGATAAATGTTTGATCTTTTCTTTCTGTTAACTAGTTAGCATAATTATAAGTTGATCCCTAATAATATTTAAAAGTTACCAGTGAGGCTGGTATTTGTTTTAGTATCATTTGTTTTTATAGGCTTAATGGATTCAAACATATTACTTCAGTCCATTGCAGTTAGGAATTGTCCTGTCTTTTGCTAATGAGACCCTAGTTTATCTTGTGCATTTTCTGTCCCAAATCTGGAATTAGTCACTTTTTAAAGGGACCATAATTCCTTTCTTTTGGGAAATTGTATTTAGGTGCCATAGTTTGAGTTTTAAGGGTGCTTATTGCTACTTGGTTGGTAATTGTTCTAAAGGTTTGTTTTTTCTTGGTGTTTTGGTTTTGGTAAGATAAAATACATCATTTTATACTTCCTATTAAAATTCAGGAGTACAGGATCTTGACTTAACCCTGTGGGTCTTCTTTTACTTATACCTGCTCCTTTTTCTGATGTCCAAAATCTTAATTCCTAATGACATCAACATAATTACTCATTTATTTTATTCTGCAGTATACTTACTTTATTTTCATGATACTACCACTACTATTGAAAACAGTTCTTTTCACTTTATACAAAAAATGGCTTTAGTTTATTTGAAATAATCTATGTGTGGTTATGCCTTTAAGAACAAGATGGCCATAAAGTTCATGTGTAATTTAAAGTGGCCAACTGTTTTGTTTTATTTATTTATATATTTTGAAACAGTCTCACTATGTCATCCTCAGTAGAGTGCCATGGCGATACTCTCAGAAGAGTTGGAACAACCTCAAACACCTGGCTATTTTTTGGTTGTAGTTGTTGTTTGGCAGGCCCTGGCTGGGTTTGAACCCATCAGCTTCAGTGTATGTGGCTGGCGCCCTAGCCACTGAGCTATAGGTGCCAAGCCAACACATGTTCTTTCTTTTTTTTTTTTTGAGACAGAGCCTCAAGCTGTCCCCCTGGGTAGAGTGCCGTGGCATTACAGCTCACAGCAACCTCCAACTCCTGGG